TTGCTCCCGCCTTGCTCCCGCCTTGCTCCCGCCTTGCTCCCGCCTTGCTCCCGCCTTGCTCCCGCCTTGCTCCCGCCTTGCTCCCGCCTTGCTCCTGCTCCTGCCTTGCTCCCGCCTTGCTTTCGACTTGCTCCCGACTTCCTCCGGCCCTTGCTCCGGCCCTTTGCTCTGGCCCTTGCCCGCTCCCTGCTCGAGCCCCGATCGCGCCATCTCTTGCCCAGCTCTTGCCCTACTCGGGCCCGGCAGGCGCGCTGGACCGGGACCGCAGTCCCCGCCGTGATGAATGATCCATGCTTCACATCTCGGGCCGAGTAAACACGCCTCGTCCGCCCCGGCCTAGATTGCTAGGTGTGACGTGACTCCAATCACATGGCTCCATTGCCTTTTAAAGCCATTTTCGTCACAGGAAAAGCTCCCGTTTTTTTTACGTGAGAGGCTGCATTTTGTGTATTTTTGGGTCATTAAATAACAGATTCGTGTGTCATTCATAAGGCCCTCGCAATTCTGATTTTAAAAATGGACAAATGTATTTAAAATTGGTTTTGTATGTTGACGGCCCCGTGCAACAACATCCTATCTGCAAATTGTGCCGTCATTTTCCCTCCCTTCCTCTCACCTTACCCAGCGGTGAAGGGTTATGAAACCGTCTTTGAAGATAACATAAAATTCGCTTCCATAGTGGCCAGTACTATCGGATGGATGCCTTTTAAAATTTTCATCAAAATACCTGCAGAGTAGCCCCTTAAAAAAAACTTTACACGCCCTGAAGATCACTTCTTAAACACCCTCAGGTGTGCTAATCAGGCGCAGTGCGTTTACGGTGTGGCGGGCCTTCACGGAAAAAAAAAGAATTAGCTAAATTAGCTAATGCATTCGCTAATATGGCCTTAGATGAGAATATTAGCTCTCCTAGGGGAGGGGAGGGGTCCCCTCCTCACCTCTCACCTGTGCGCCCGCCGAGTCGAGGATAGGCAAACCCGCAACACGGCGGCGCGTGCTCTGAATCACCCGGTACAAAATAAAGCAACTAGCTGTGAAAGCTAATATTTTAGCTTTCTTAGCTGGGAATTAGCTAGGAAAGCTAATATTCTCATCTAAGGCCATGTTAGCGAATGCATTAGCTAATTTAGCTAATTCTTTTTATTTCGTGTTGTGCAGTGTAGCCGCCGCACAGTCCGCGCCTTGTCCGGCAATTAATAATCACGGCGGCCCAACGAGGACGAGAGCTGGCCGAGGGGCAGATAATGCTGCCGGTGTTTGTTATCTCTGTCAAAACTTTGCCAAGTTTTCATCGTCGGGTTGGGGGGCACGGTCTGGTAATCCACGTCGTCCAGGAGGGGGACCGAGGGAGAAGAGAAAGTGAGAGGGGGGGGGGGCAGAGGAGCGGGAGAGAGACCCGGGGGAGAAAGGGGGGCGGCAGGCAGAGAGCGGCTGCTGCTTTGTCTCGGGGCGCCTGGGTGGCAGGCCGCGGCGGACCAGGGCAGCACCGAGGGACGGCCTACCCATGAGGCGCTACCGTCAGCTGCTTGAAAATAAATTCTTCGCAAATGCTTTGCGAGCTTTTTCAAGCTTCAAATTAGATGCTGTTAAATCTGTCCGCAAGGAAATAACTAACTACCCCCAAAACGTGACTGGTGAAAGTATAGGAAAAGTATTCTTAAAGTATATTGCAGATTGAAATGGCTTCAGTTTGCTACTCTCTACGTGATACTTAAAAGTTACACAAAAGTGACATTTTAATGTACTTAATTAGGGTGCCTGAGCATTTTATTGCAGGCTCCGTAGGGAATGATTGACAGAGGGTGCTCGCCTGGAGACATCTCCAAGAGCGGCAAGCGAGAAGCATCAAGGCATTCCGTGCTCCTCCCGCACTAACATGAGCAGAGAGAGAGAGGGAGAGAGAGAGAGAGAGAGAGAGAGAGAGAGAGAGAGAGAGAGAGAGAGAGAGAGAGAGAGAGAGAGAGAGAGAGAGGCGGCGCGAAGGAGGCGCGACTGCCAACCTTGGCGGCAGACGTCCTAGCTGCTGCTGCTTTCTGCAGAGCCCCTAACGAAGAGAGCCTCGCGCACTAGATGAGCGCAGCAACGAGAAAATCACAGCCTGCTGCTTTCAGCTCGCGGAGCCCGCCGCCACCGAGCTCTTTAGCTCCACATCTCCTCTTCTATTCCTCTCCCACCTCTACTCGCTCAGCGCTGGCGCCGTCATCGCCGCTGCCTCTACATACCGAAAAAAACCTTGACCGAAGCTCCGCGTAAACATGGAAGCGATGGAAGCAGGCGATAACACTGCAAAAAATTAGAGTCTGATACAGAACGATCTACAGCGTTACTGTAGATGCCGATCTTAGTCACTGCACCTAGGGTACAGAACGCGGAGTACAGTGTTGCTGTAGCACGGGAAAGCCCAGGATTTACACGGTACAGTGTACGAATACGGCTCCACTGTAGACAGTTTTGCCCGCGCTTTTGCCTTACAGTGGTCCTGTACATTGCTCCCTGTACCAAATTTTAACCATTAAAACTACATCGATGCTGTTATTCGAATAAGAGAGGTTCCTGGAAAATAATTAGCAGGACGATCTGTAGTTTTCCTGTCATAATTTTTTGCAGTGAAAGAATAAGTGTTTATGGTTGCGAAAGTGTACAGTATTTCGTACAGCAAAGCGATACTGACAGAAAAAGCACAACACGCACGGGTCAAGTCCTTGCCTGATCGCATTGTACTGAGTAAGGTACAACATTACGAGGTACAAAGTACAATATCCTTTAACACGTCGACGCCTGACGCTCTGACCCTGCCGGTCCCAACTGCCGACACCGCTTTTGGAACAATTATCATTCTCTTATAGGTACTACAACAAAAATGTACAACGACGTTCGTGTACCTCACCTCCACAAACCTACAATCCTTTTATCCATTTGTTGTACTACTTTGGTACTATATTTTCGTCAGTGCACACCACAATGATGTCATCGCAAAGTTGTTTTTTTTGTGACGCGTGATGCGAAATCTTCTAAAACAAAAACGCAGGAAGTACCTGGGATTATTTGTTTCTAGTACGCGTTTGGTGACGCGGTGTTCGTATCTAAGTATGAATCACACTATCTGTCGCTCGCTATCGCCGCCGCGGGCCGCGGCAGGGTGCTGAGTCAGTCACACGGGGCGACACGGCCGCGGCAGGTCCCTTCAGTCAGACACAGCGCGACGCCCGCACTAGCACCGGGCTCCACACCGCCGCCATGGAGTGCGACATCTGCCTCGAAGACTACAACCAGGCGGAGCGCGTGCCCAAGATGGTGCCGTGCGGGCACACCGTGTGCCTGCTGTGCCTCCAGCGGAGCGTCAGCAGGCAGTGCCCGACGTGCCGCAGGGTGAGTCCGCCAGTCAAAATATGACTAACTTCAGATCTAAAATTCCGTCTTTTGTTGTGGCTGTGTGTGGCGCTCGCCTCGTATACAAAATAGTTTTTATAATCCCAGGTAGTCGATGGCCCACCGGATGCACTTCCAAACAACTTCACTCTCCTACGGCTAATAGAGGACCCAGCGCACAGCGTCAGGTGAGACTACCTTATCTATGACCATTTTCAGCCTGTATCAAATCATGACAGAGCCCCAGGCCCAGGTGCAAAGGCTCAATGTCTTTTTGGGGCGATGATGACGGAGTTTCGGCGTCCGTTGAGCTCGCGTCGTTGCGTGTGAGTCAAAAACTGCTCCCCTCCGCAGACCTCTCCGCGGCTGGTGCTCGGACTGCCGCGCCACCACCTCGCCCCGCTGCTGGGACGAGGAGCACGACATCCTGCCCGAGAAGAAGGCGCTGAGGCGCTACCTGCAGGGCGCGCTGCAAAAGGCGGCTGGGCAGCTGGAAGCTGTGGAGGACCTGTGCCAGGGCGAGCAGGTCGATCATGCCCTCACCCTGCTCAGTGCAGAATCCTGGAACCTGACGCTGCAGGGCGGGGGCCACGAGCTGACGGGCACCGTGGGGAACACGGAGGACCCCCTCACACAGCTCATGTGGCTGCTCCTGGCCGCGAAGGCCACGCTCAGCAAGGTATGCGTTTAGACGAGTATCGGGTGGGTAAGAGAAGACGCAGGTGCGCGGGCACGTTTGCCTACACAAGGGACAGAGTAAGAAGGCAAATCCCCCCCCCCCCTCCTCTAAATTCCGCAAATTTAAGGTAATTCCCCTAAATTATACTGAATTTAGTTTTACATCAAAGTCAAATTTTCCTTTGGAACAACGCAGTGAACTCTTGACAGGGGAGTTTGACTGTACTCCGATGCCATTGTTTCATTCCGTGGGTTGATGTAGCTTAGCGCCAGCTCAATACTTATTGTGGCTGTTGCAGAGTCGAGTTCAGACGCTCCCGCCCACCTCTGCGAGCCCTCCGCCCGCAGCCGCGGGCTCACCACCTCCAGGGACGCAGGGTCCACCGCCAGCCGCTGCGAGCCCTCCGCCTGCAGCCCCGAGCCCGAGACCGCTGCGTCCAGAGGCGCAGCCGCTGCGCGAGATGACAGTGTATGAAATCAGCCTCAACGGACCGAACAAGCAGAAGAAGGAGAAGGCAGCCCTTCTTGCAAAAGCGCCGGGGGTGAGTGAGAGGCTTGCCACACGTGGGTCGTGAGCACCGACCACCGTCGCGGCAGGACGTGGCCGAAAGGCACCGGACGGAGTGGCCGAGGAGCAGGAGAGGTTGGCGCTCAGAGGCAGCCTGCTGTCAACCCTCTGCTGTCAACCCTCTGAAAGTGACTCTGTCTTGTTCTACTCCAGGTCACCCGGCTGCTCGATGTTTCGTGCCACAAGGACTCTGCCTGGAGCCTCCAGCTGCTGCAGCGCGTCGCACCCTCCATAGAGGAGCTGGCTATAGTCTACCCGCGCGAGCCGCACCTGCGCGCGTTGCACGCCATGCCGCGGCTGAGGAGGCTGCAGGTGTCGGGCGGTGACGCCGCCATGCGCGCCCAGCCCCCCGAGCTGCCCGCGCTCCCGCCGGGGCACGCCGGCCTGCAGTGGCTCCGGGTGATCCAGCTGCCCCGAGCCACGACACAGTCCCTGCTGCGGGCGCACGGCCGCTCGCTGGAGGAGCTGCAGCTGCTGGTGGGCACGGCGGGGCGTGACGGGCGTGACGGCTGGCCCGTCTGCTGCGGGGACCTGCCCTCGCTGCTGCAGCAGAGCGGGCTGCAGGCGCTCAAGAGGCTCGTGCTGCGCAGGTTCGTCACGGGGCACGAGCCGGCCGCCTGCAGCGAGCAGCGCGCCGAGGTCAGGCCCGTGTTGCCCGGGGTCGAGGTGCTGTGCGGCTGGTGTGACCGCGTGAGGCTGGAAGAGTTCTAGGAGGTTCTCGTCTACCAACGGGAATGGGGGTCAAGTCGGCTAGGTAGACGCACAAAGAAAGTTGTTTGGGGTGTTTCGGGAGGGTAATTTCAAAATAAACGAAACTGAAAATGATCTGTTTTTCCATCCTAACTAAAATATCGTCCTGGGCACGCGCTACGCTTGGGCTAGACTACGGCTAGGCTCGGGCTAGACTAGGGCTAGGCTCGGGCTAGACTAGGGCTAGGCTGCGCGCTGCTCACACGTGGGACTAAGGGGCTGGGCTGGCTTCACTGCGAGTGGATTGGATACAGGACACATCTTGCCTTGGTTCCCATGGCGTGCGAACGCCCCACCACACCCCGCCACGCCCCGCCCTCCACACCTATCGCCACCGAGCTACCACTGCGGCTATCGACCGACCAGCAGGAAAACAGCCCGGAATAAGTGGTCCACGCATGAGGAGGTTCCCACCACTAGCCGGCCCTCGAGCTGCGCCCAGACTAATTTGTGAGGGGACGGGGGGGACGCTCCCGAGGTAGGAGGGAGGATCATAGCGACGACGCCAAGCGGGCGTGACGTCGCATAAGCGGCTGCACTTAGCGGCCGCCAGGCGGCGCTCGCGACGCGCCGGAGCGCTAGAAACTTCTCCCGCCCGTCGCCGGTCTCCCACCCCCGCTCCGCCTCACCC